TCGAAAGACATTATAACGGCAGATGGGCTACTAAACGCCCCGGGCCAAAGCAATGCCATTCAGAGAATGAAGAAAACATGGAAGCCTCATACGACACCGCCACTGAAGATGATCTACTCGGCAAGTCTGAGGATAACGAACAAATCCCTCTGTACCAAATGCCTAGCAGAACATGCCCAGAATCCCTACAATATAGGGCGAGGGCCAAAATAAGAGCAGACGAGGATTTCAAAAATGAGATAAAGCAAATCCTTAACAACGCGGAGCAAGAAACAGTAAAGGCGATCATGTGCTTCTATGAACGTGAAATCGGTCGTTTTAATACCGAAATAAAGAAAAGAAAACGAGCCAAAACGGCTGGAACACTGAACACTAAGAACTGTAGTACGATCGAATCAGCGCGCGTGGCGCAAGCTGAAAGCAATCAAGACAACTTAACGATCGAGACAGTCAAAAAAATAGCTGTACATCTACAAAGGCGAACGATTCGAAAAAGACGCAATCCCTGATGTGCGTACTCAGTGCCACACATAAAGCAAATTCTCATGAAAAACTGGCATTTAATAGAAACACAACCACTACTGAGCGAACTATACAAAAATCCGCCGCTCGTATCTTACAAAAGAGGGCGGTCGCTCAAAGACATACTCGTGAGGGCTAAACTTTGAATAGGCTACTCTAAACACACGCTTGGGAGTCGTGTAGGCCTGTCAACCCCATTTTACGCCACCATCTTCCTCTTCGCTACTGGAGACAACTTCGCTTCGTTCAGAAGAAGATTCACTTGACAAAACTTCAATATCTGCCATCTCCTTCGCCCACGAATACAAACAAACAGTGAGTGAAATAAACCACGCTATCGGAGTGAACACAACCAGTGACGTCATCAATCCATTTCGCTCGGTACCAGGGCCCGGACATGGTTTTGTGTAAAATTTTTGATTTGAACGGTTAAAAAAGATATCTTTCGCTTCTTTTTGGCCAAAGCAAATTATCTCATGATGATCAGCATATTCAACACTACAGGTTAGAGCAAATATTTCAGATACGAAAATTTCGTTTCAGTAGCACTTTAACGACGATTATCAGTTTATTGTCTTTGGTTTGAAGCGCGTAGAATCTCATTTTCTTTGTTTTGTTGGTGTCATATCATACCCTTATAAGTCATAACTTAGGGCTGTCAAGAATAATTCAATTTCGCGTCCTTAAAAAGCTTCCTTAATATAATGGGGAAAAATGGAGTCCAGTTATTAAGTCTTACTTGTGTTCGGCTTTCTGTGATCTGGTAATGATTTTACTTGGATAGGGGTTATTTATTAGACCTAGACCTCGAGATTTTGAGGACTAGAAGCTATGATGAGTTTTCCAAAACTTTTTTAGAAACAATTTTTTATTCTATTTCAAAGACGAGCTTTACGAACAAAACTAATGTTTTTGACCGACTCTAATTTCTTAATTTTGAGGATATAGTTTTTATTGTAGATAAAAAATTATTTAAACTTTTCTATCTCTACATCAGCAAGCCTATTCATCAGTTGTTTTATTAATTAATTTGAAACAGAAGTTTGAAGTGTCAGAGGCAGGCTAAATTTTGGTGGTTTAATTTCAATTGTAGCTATAACTCTCAAAAGCTTTAGCTATCTTGAAATTAACTTATGTCAAAGTGGTTCAATACTCATCAATAATTACAAGCTGCTCGTGCGTTAACAACAATTTTCAATAGCCCATAAACCGTGTCCTCAAGTCTGTATGATAACTACATTTCCATTAGGAATCATATTTTACGAAGCAGGCGGAAAATTTCAATTACGAAAAGCCTTTGCGCAGCTTGCAGTCCATTGCCGAAGTTTTGCCTATTTACAAAAGGTTTTGAAACCAGTCAGAAATGATATGCCATATTTACATAGAAACAAAACTGTACAAACTAGCTTGACAGATTTTGCTCTTCATTTCGTTTTCGCATTTGGTCGTGCGTGGGCAAATCCATTATGGAAATAGCATATTTTTCGACTAAAAGGAACGCAGTATTGTTATTAATTGTATGGCTAATGACTAACCGGGTTAATTGGAATTATCTTTGAACAGACTTGAAGCTTCCTTAAGCTGTATCTATCAGTTGCCAATATCCGGTAAGAAGTAGGTGGTTCGGTTAAAATTACACCCTGCATTTGATTTTGAGCTATATTAAAATTATCACTTTTATTTATTCATCGCCTTGAAGGCTGCCTTGGCCTCGGAAAACGCTTTTGCGGTATTCTGAACTGAAGGATTAGTGGCGGCCGAGACAAAGTGAACTTTTGAAAGATCCTAGGCGACAGTGCCTGCTGGACGAGATTTTCTCCGTGAAGACCATTGTTTCTAATTGTGTCTTGTGACGTTTTTGTTTCTGTCTCTTAAGAAGGCTGGTTTATATTAACGGCCACAGCTCTCAAAGGCGCCTCGATCAACGTCACGAAATCTTGCACATAAAGACACAAGTCGATAACTTAGTAAAGATTCAAGAAGGTATCTGCAACAGCAAGTTATGTCCATGATTTGTTAAGCGTTTGGTACTACTATTTGCTGATATCCAAGGCAACAAACAAGATCGGCAAAGCGGCTGTCTTTTAGAATACGTATAGCATTTACAGCTGTACAGCTTTGGGTAATAAGCATTTCCAAGACAGTAGAGCGGATTTTAAAACCGCACTTCCGCTATTAACCTACCTTGTCTCCAAACACAAGATCTTTTTCTTCAGTACAGTTTCTTTCAGTTATGTCTGATTCTACGTTGGTAACGAACACAACATCTTCGCAGGCCACTACGGAACCTCGCGCCGAACCACATGCTGAGCCAGGCCCTGACTGGGAAATAGCGACGCAGAAATGGGGAGTAGCTTGGCAAGTGCATTGGGCTGGATTCGGTGTCATTTTCAGTATGTTAGCTCTGCGCTCCGTTATCGCCCTATCGCAAGTCAGAAAGAGAGAAGGATTTGGTAGAAAGCCCTTGGTCGTTGCTATCAACGCGTTGCTCATGACACAAGGAATGACACGAGCCTTATTTTTGTTTCTAGATCCTTACGAATCAAGGACGAATGGATTAAAAGTCCCATCTTGGCTGACGAATTTACTCTACGGTATCACATTTCCTTGTTTGACTTCCTCTTTCTGCCTCATACACTTGGCATTTGTTGAAGTCTCCAAGGTCCAAATTGGATCTAATAAACTTCAAAGTGTGTCCTTCTTAAGCGTGGTTATAACGATTCACTTTGGGGTGGTCGTAACGGCAGAAACAGTAACCGCTCTGAGGGCGGATCTTACACCCTTGATTATTGTGTGCCAGTCGCTTTTCATCCTTTGGGGCTTCCTCCTCTCGACGAGCTTTATTTACAGCGGATTAAAAGTCATTCAACGTGATGTCGCTGTTCAGAGGGAACTGCAAATCGTCCAGATCGACAAGGCTAGTAAGATGGGGAGACCAAAACAAACAAAGAGAACTATTAAAGTTGCGAAGATCACCATGGCAACTAGTATTTTAGGATTTGCATGCTGTGGACTGCAGCTGTATTCACTATTTGGCGTGTACACCTTATATAGTAAAGTTGTAAACCCTGCTCCTTGGCCGTGGTGGACATTTCAAACGTGTTTTAGACTGGTGGAATTCTTCATGGCTTGCACCATAGCCTACAGTGTTATGCAACGTTCCTCAGCCAGAGAAATAAGCGAAGCCAACAAACAAAGCAACGACATCAGCCAAAACATAATAAAGCCTGGGAACCACTAGGATTGTTCGCGCTGCAACTTATTGCCCTTTAGACGAGTAAGCATACATACATACATACATACATACATACAGATCTTTATTTGATAGGTAGTTAAAAAATTGGCAACTTTACAGCTGATGTGGACCTACCATATTATCTACGTAAAATAAGATAAATAAACCCAGAGTAAAGTGTTAAATAAGAAACAGAATAAATATAAATATAAATGTGTCATAATATATCAGAAATAGTAAAAATTTGAGTTCTCATTATAAACAACAGAGCCACCCCCTTTCCAAAATTTATATTTACAAAATCATTTTTTGCCATTTTAAGCCTATTTTTACAAGCACTTGGATTAAAAAGTGTCTTAAATTACCTGGTAAGAAATTCCAAGCAATTGCTGCTCTGTGTACAAAAGAACTACGGCAAGTTCAGTATTAGGTCCATCAATTAAAATATTTAGCGATTTTCTAAGATTATAACTATTAGAACACTTAACAACGCAGGAATTTACTTCATTTAAGCCCAAGCCATAAAATGCCATGTGAGTAATAGTTAGATACGAAACTTATAGAAATACTCAAGAGGCATCCACCCAACTCTTGCTAATATATCATCATCCCTCATACATTTTTGTAACTTATGTATCAGGCTAGCAGCTCTAATATTTATCATTTCCAGCTCTTTAAGCTTAGTGCGAGACCCCCAAATCACAATTCCATATAAGACACTTGGGATTACTGTCTTAAAGCAAATAGTTTCTAAAATAGATTTAGGTACAAATCTCATACAATTTTTTAGTGTAATAGAAAAAATCCGAGCCCCAGATGGGACTTGAACCCAATACTTGGCTGTGTAGCCGGGCGATGCGGTTCCAGTCGAGGCCCACAAATTGACCCTTGCTCACTATAGAGTCTCCAGTAGCTCAGTGATTAGAGTATCCGACTAGATCACGGAGGGTCGTGGGTTCTAGTCCCATCTGGGGCTCGGATTTTTTTCTATTACACTAAAAAATCTCATATGTGTCAGCATTTTTAACTTTCGTGTGAAATGAAGAACGAGTTAATTTGATATGCTGAGACCAAGATAACTGGTCATCGATTGTAACTCCGAGGAACACAGAGGAGGATATATACCGAATTATGTCCTCACTTCACTTCAGAGGTTTCATAGGACCTATGAAGGGCTCAGTGCTCAAAATCATCGCTTCGAATTTACCTTTATGAACCAGTCTATTCTTAAGACTCCAGGAATTAACCTGGTCTAAGACTTCTTGTAAGATTATGACAATATCGTCAACAGAATTCCCTATAACATAAATTGTTGTATCGTCTGCATGCATAGATAATTTCCCATTGGTCACGTGATCCGGTAGGTCATTAACATAAGTAGCAAATAGTCTTGGGCCTAGCAAAGATCCTTGAGGAACTCCAACTCTAACAGGTTTTAGATCTGGTCTAACATTATTGACTTGAGTCCCTTGCATACGGTTGTGAGATAAGCATTGATCGAGCTTAATTGAGAAGAATTTGCTACCTTTCTGTAACATCAAGAAATGATTAGATATTCTAGTCTTGTCGGATAGGGACGAATAAATGGAGTTCCCGTCTCCTGCAGGGTTGGGGTAGGAGACGTAAAGCTCCCACAAACGAGATTAGTGTGATGGATGTCCTCCCCTGGGGTGGGATGGGTGGGAGGGTGGACTAGCACGAATGGTTTGTATGTTCCTTTCTAGTCCTTCCCCACTGCAAATAATGCAATGAAAATGGAGTAGATTAAATTAAATTAATTATGTGGTCCACGCAATCAAAAGCTTTGCGAAAATCAATGAATAAGACTCCAACCTTGTGACCTGTATCCAAAGCTCTCCTCCAGGACTCAGTAGGATGGAGGAGAAGGCTTTCAGTAGAGTACCTTTTGTCTATTAGTTAAGATACCATTAGAAATAATATGATCATCCAAAGACTTGCATACTACCCTCTCGAGTAGTTTCCCTGGGGCACTAAGCAAAGATATTGGTCGAAAATTGTTAGGGTCCAGTCTATTCCCTTTTTTAAATATAGGTAGAACTGAAGATACTTTCCACTGTTGGGGGAACTTACAACAGAACTTAATAGAGGAAATGTTGCAATCTGCAACACTCGGTCTGTACTGAACTTTTTGTGACAGTAGTTTGGACGATATTTTATCCATGTGGAAAACGTAACAGTTACTATGGTTTTCAGATAAGTGTACCTATGAGGACTTTCTAATAGAGAAAATTTACAAGTTTTTCAAATTTGCTATCAAACCAGTTACGTAAAGACCGGTATGGTAGTAAGCTGCGAATGCAGCTCTTGTACCAACGCGGAGATAAACATGTCATCAGTTAAATGTAGCAGTTTGATTTGATATATGAAACGGACTTCGATGATCAGGATGCCCTGGGGGACTTCATGTAATCGCTTGTATTACATCTCATCTTATCTATCAAGGATTTCAGATATTCCCGGCCCAGAGAATATTTTTGAGGTTATCTTCCCTAACGGAAAAGAACGTCATATCTGAGTCGTGTGATGATCGTACAGTGAGTATGCCCTTGACACGACCGGGCCGGCTAGGAAAATGTCGTCGTATCATTTAGATACAATCTTACGCTTTTGCAATCGTAAAGAAATGAAGAAAAGTGGGAAGTTGCTGGCGCAGAATGTACGCAAATATGAAAGTATTAGTGAAGCCAATTCCCTTTAATAAATGAGTTAATCCTTTAACTCTTATGAGTGACCAAGGCAAAATTTCTCCTTGCAATATCAATACAATATCATTGGTTATATCAACTAAGTTGAAATTGTAAATTGGCCACCGTAACGAACAAAAAAGCTGACGTTTCGAGCGTTAGCCCTTCGTCAGAGCAAATGGAGGAATTGTGGGTTGTGTGCGGTTTTATATGCAGAAAGCGGAGCAATAGATAACGTTGGCGGAGGTGCACTTGAAGTGATCGGTGATCTTAATGGATCGCTTGAGTCCCGATATTTTCTGAGCGTTGTGAATGAAGGGAAAAGTTTTGCATCGGGCGCGAGCGCATTGAAAAGTGCCGGCTTGATCATTAGTTTGGAATGAACGTCTGACCAAAAAATTGCCTATGTTTTTGTCGCGTTTGAATGAATTAAGTGGAGATTGCGAAAAGATAGTGCCAGTCTCTGGATCGTTTTGAAGTAATTTGAAGTTTTTAAGAATAATTGATTTAACTGAGTGGTTATGAGGGTGAAACGTGAGAGTGAATGGAATGCGGTCGGAATTTTCCTTGTGACGTATGTATTGCAGACTGTCGATCAATAAGTTGGACGCGGTGATGACCCGCTTGAACGACAGAAACAGGGTAACCGATCACTTCAAGTGCACCTCCGCCAATGTTATCTATTTCATAACTTGCACATATTGCAAAAAGTTATACATCGGCGAAACAGGAAGACGACTAGGTGACCGATTCCGAGAACAGAAGAAGTTGACTAATCAGGTGCTAAGGAAAAACAAAGTTTCCAAGCTTGGTCCAGTTATGGATTACAATGATAAGCTACTAACTGATGATCTAACAAAAGCAGAACATTTCAATGATTTATTCATCAATGTCACTGAAAGCCTAACAACAAAGTTAAATCCTCTAGACGAGTCAACCCTATCGACCTTTGTTACTAGGATTACTCCCACTAAAGATTGCATAGATTTTAATTGGGAGCTAGTCAAGAGTATTACCCAGAAGGCAACAAATCCTAAGAAGGCTATGGGTCCAGATTTGGTCTCACCTAGGGACCTTTTTTTTTTGTATCGACTGATCTGGTTACCCACAGCTTACTTCCACTTTATAAGAATAGCTTAATCTGTGCCTCCTTCCCCTGTGATTGGAAACTATCTCGTGTTACTACTGTGTTCAAGAAAGGCAAACCAAGCGATGTGAACAATTACAAACCGATATCTCTGTTCAGCATTCCTGGGAAAATTCTCGAGGCTGTGGTGTGCAATTCCATAAATAATCATTTGCAGTCCCACAATTTATTAAGCCGCAACCAGTGGGGCTTCAGAAAAAATCGCTCTACTGAGGGCCTCTTGCTTCATATGACAGAAACTTGCAAGTCAGCTCTGGATCAAGATTTGGTAGTGGGTGTACTATTTGTTGACTTTCGCAAGGCTTTTGACTCAGTTAACTATTCAATCCTGTTGGAGAAACTGAAAGCCACTGGAATATCGGGGTATCTATTTTCTTGGCTTACCAATTATTTGTCTAACCGAAATCAGTTTTAATATCTGGTGCACAGCCAACAGACTAAATGCACACGAATCAAAGAATAAAGCAATGATACTATCTAGATCCACCTTTATAGGCCCTCTGCCAGCTTTAAGATATGGCACCAAGACCATCGAGCTCAAGTCTTCATCTAAGTGTCTTGGCTTAACTATAGACAATAAGTTATCTTGGCAGGATCATATTAGGAATGTTCGTATTTTATTTAACAAGAAATTGGCTGTTTTGAAGCGAATCAAATTCCTGCCTCAGTCCATCTTGGAATCTATTTATTTCAATTCAATTATTCCTAGTGTTGTATATAATATTGTTGTTTGGGGCTCTGCTTCCCCATCACTTATGGAGGATATTGAACGTATTCT